TCAAATATACGCGATTATATTAATTAGAAGGATAAAGTCCATATACTACGAAAAGTTTTACGTTGTAATTTTGATCGCGTTTTATTTTAACATTATTTAGATTTTCGAATATAGATATCNAAGTTTTACATGTACTTTTGACGTTGTTTTTCTGATTTATTTCGTCTTTCGTTCCGTTTTCGATAAATCATTTTCGCAAGATAATTGCGAACTGGTGCTTCGTTGAACTAACGAAGCAAAATACTTCGCTGTGCTAAGCGGAGTGACTCTCGCAAAAGTTGCGAGACTGTCTTTGCAGAGAGTCTGCGAAGCAATCTGTTTTGCGTAAAAAGTACGCAAATTATTACTATTATAATTAAAATAAATTTCGTTCCGTTCTAACTAAACAATCAATAATAAAACTTTTTGAATTTCAATANTAAGTTTTGTATAAAATTCACGCGACGTATTATTTCAGAATATTTTAAAAATTATATAGTAAAATTNTATATTATATATCTCGTGCTTTTTGATTACTTATTTTGATCACTTATTACTGATTTTATATATATATATTTTTTTTTTTTTATACATACCACCTATCTTATACCCTTCCTTTATCAAAAAAAAAAAGAAAAAAAAGAAAAAAAAGAAAAAAAAAGAGAAAATATTCAAAAGTAAGATTCCTCAATTTATTCTTCTATCCTTTTCATTTTTACCCTACATATTTACCCTCTACACATTTACTCTCTACACATTTTTTATATTTAAACATAAAGTATAAAGTCGCGAATAAAATTCTATATCGTTATACTTTTCACTTCATTATTATTATTATTCTTATATTCTATCTTTTAAAATAACGTTATTTATTCCGCGGTATTTTTCACATTCTTTTGTCTAAATTTTATCTATCAACTTTTTTCAAAGTTAAATGAGAGTCATTCGCGATTTCGCGGTTTTCGCGTAACATTACAGCAACGGGACCACCGGTAAGGTTAAACGTGGTCCCGCGTCGTGGGACTACGGTCATCTCGTCGTGGGCGCGCACTCGTCGCATCGTGGGACAGTAAAGGTAGGTTCCTGATTGCTACGTGGGACTGGAGTAGAAGATACGTCGATGGACGCCGAGGGACTACGCACAACAGTACGTTGTTTTTTTTATAAATAATTTATTCTTCTCAGTAAGTAAAAAGGTAACTCACTTTTAGAGAGTGTTTGCCTTTTTATATATTCATATTTTTTATCTTATTATTAGCATTTTATACAATTATAGTAATTAAAGTCACAAAATATATATCTAATAAATTTTAGATACAAGAGAAAAATTAAATTATTCTAAAATTGTTTCTTTTATAATATTTCAAAATAAAAATTCTTTATACAGACACATTTTATATCTTATTATGTCAGATTAAATATATGAGATCTTATCAGTCTCATAATTATAGCTTGATATAAAATTTTCACACATAAAGAAGTTATAAATCATTGTCATTTCGGAATATATCGAATCAACTAATAATATCTATTTCTTATTGTAGTATCTTATAACATATATTGAAACATGTGTCTTTTACTTGAATTTTACAGTAGAATTTTACATTTCGGTATTAATATTTAAACAAACAGAGAAAACTTAGAGTTACGTTGCAGGCTAGTGAGAAAGCCACGGTAAATCTATAACTGGTTATCCATTTCCGAATTCTCCTCTTTAGCAGTTTGGATGCAAGCGGTACCATTGTATCTTAACTGCCACTGAAGAGAATTCGGAGGTGAATAAACGTTATAGATTAGTTTTATTATTTTCAGTCGATTTCGTTGATACAACGTTAAAGTTGATAGTTGTTTATGTAAAATTCACACCGTAAATTCAAATAAAATGCACATTTTTATATATTNTGCTATAAAATACATATAATAAAAAACGTGAGTGACATGTTAATTGAATACATTGCTTTATATATCTAAAACTCTATTTTTGTTAATACAACTTCAAAGTTGATAATTGTTATTGTAAACTTTTAAAAAAAATAGGTAATGATTTATAATTAAACGATTATCTTCTATTTCTCTATCATGAAAATCTGAGAAGAATAAATTATATTGCATGTGTAGTAATCGCACTGATTTTTCAATAGTTTCTTTTAATNAAATTTGTACATATTCTATATTGTGTGATTTAAATAATCTCTGTACATGCATTGTACACATTTTTTTGTATAAAATTTATTCTGCACTTATCTATTATTTTTTAAAAAAGTTTAATATTTTTTTTCTTTATTTATATATCTATTTTTACTCAATTTCTCTTAAAGAATTAATTTTTATTCACTTTCTCTTGAAGAACTGATTCTTCATAGAATCTTTTTTTCTTCTCTTAAAAAACTAATTTTTATTCATTTTCTCTTAAAGAACTGATTCTTTATAGAATCTTTTTTTCTTCTCTTAAAGAACTAATTTTTATTCATTTTCTCTTAAAGAACTGATTCTTTATAGAATCTTTTTTTCTTCTCTTAAAGAACTCATTTTTCTACTTTCTCTTAAAGAACTGATTCTTCATAGAATCTTTTTTTAATATTATTTTTCCTATACTTGTGCTTTACTTATATATATCCTCTTNAAATATATATATTTTCTTTTAAAATATATATATTTTATTTTTTCCCACTAATTACATGTTAGGTTTTATGGAGTGGGTATATACTTTGTCTTTAAATTATGAAATATAAAAAAAATTCTCGGGTATAACAATATATGTACACAATAATATTTTTTATTTAAAAAAATTGCCCCTCGCGTAAAATAATAGTAGGTTTTAAAATCGTTCCTAAAAAATAGATAGAAATATATATCTATAAAATTTTAGAAAATGTTAGGTCGGGTAGGCAGGAATTAGAAGTATATGTTAAGAATTTCTTAAGTTAGGGTTATAGAGGTAGGAATACAAATGTAAAGCGCTAATTAATAAGAATAGTAAGATAGGTAAATAGGATAGGTTTAAAAATAAGTGAAAATGCATCTGCACTGATTGATATAAATCACTGCATATGCATATAGATGTAAGATTTAAGTACATTTACGTACATGTAAGGTTAAATTACATTTATTGTGTAAAACATGTGTAAAAGAATGAAATAGTAGAAACGATACGAACTGTATAAAAAAATCACGACATATTAAATACAATTTACTTCGCGGAATTACTCTGTGCAATAAAGAGGATGATATACAATAAATGTAATTTTACCACAACTATTGATATGTAAGTAAATTTTTTGTATTGGATTATGTATTGTAGAATATTGTAATATTGTATAAGAAAGAAAAACATTGTAAAATGAAAATTGAAAAAATTGTAACATTCGTGACACATGAATATTAATAAAACAACAAAAAAAATGTAATTGCAACCCTTCTTGAAATTGCAACTTTTCATACATTATATACTTGTGTACCGTTAAAACAATTTTGTAATGTACATGTTTTTTGTTATATATTTTGTAACATATGTATATGTAATGTTTTTAAAAAAAATAAAAAAATTAAATTCATAAAACAAGCGACAGCAAATGATGATATACAAGGAGATGATACCTGATATCACTCCATAAATTCTGATGCTGCTCGCTAAGTTCTCGTTTTCTTGACAATCACACATATGTTGTGTGGAAAGTTGCAGATCTTTGCTTTAATTTTCTTTCATGTCCTCGTTTTAATTTTCACAAATCGGCCCGGTTTATTTATCGAATCGACGTCCGCTGCAGCTCGCTATTCACCTGTAGAAGTGCGAATACACTAAGTAATTTTATATTTAATAATAATAGCAACAAAATATACGATAATCTAAAGAGTTGTACTTACTTGATTACACTTCCGTTTCATAATATTGCTCGGTAGTCATAAATTCTGCTGCTCATTAAAAGTTTCACTTTTTCTCGGTCACATCAATCATATAGTTTGTAGTAAAACGCGAAATTTAATTTCTTGCGCGCGCGTTGCGGAAAACGCAAGAGACAGAGATACGATTATTGCACCGTGCAAGCTCGCCGTTATGGTCAAGTATGGCGATTCAATAATTAAATATCAACAAAAACAACCGATTTATGATATTCGCACGATTTCCGCGATAATAATCATGAAAAATACGAACCAATTCGAGAGAAATTCTTTCGGCGTCGCGCGTCGATCATTTTCTCGCGCGCGTCTCGCAGAACCGCGGCCACGAAACAATTTCACTGTATATACTCGTCGATTGCGTTTACAGAGAGCAAATACGCGGTATTAATCATGTATCACTTACAAAGATCCGCTTTGTGATACGCGTGTGCGACTGATATTCGCGCTCGAGACGATAACAATCACGATAATACGAGAACAATTCCCGACATAGTTCACAGCTCTTCGTCGCGCGTCCGCCATTACTGCTCGCTGCCCGCCACTTGAAGCGTATCGAAGCGCGCGATATTTCGATAATCGAAATATTGAATCGACTCGTGCGCGGCAAAACGCGCGCACACGGAACAGAACCAAATCTCAATCGGTTAAGATACCAGTTTTGTTCACTGTAGTTGAGACGCGCAAAACGTGGACATCGAGGCGCTCGGGAACTTGTAATATACGTGCTTTTATGGAAACACAAAAGGTGGCCGCTCTTTTTGGCTTCTTCTTCTCTGTCTCTCTTGCGCGTGTCAGGTTAGGTTAGTATGTATGTTAGTTTTTTTTCTGCTTACGTTGAAAGTCGCAGAGTAGGTATTCTCTGAAAGTATGGTTAGTAATTTTCTTGTGGAAAAAAACATGTTAAAAAGACACAATGTTTGTTGAAAATGTATATAGAATATAGCCAGTGATAAGTTAAAACAAAGTTAAAATAACGACGAGGTCACTGTGATATAATATGTATCTACTGATAAGTGTTTATTTAACGTGTTTTTTTTTTTTTTAATAAAAAGGTAATAACAAGAGTTGAGAGACCGGATATAATTGCGATAAAAGTAGGTAACGTTTGAAAGTGGGCAACCTACTTTGGATAATCTTTATTTGCTTGACTTTCTCTGCATACATACTTTTACATATACATATATTGAACGACCAAATGGTGTTCTCAAAAATAAACAATCTTTTCTAATGATTTAAATCGGGAGATGTTAAAATAATATATTAAAAATATTTTAGATATTTTTATTATATATTGTATTTCTGTATTTCATATTATTTTACATGTATCTACAATTATACATATTGTTGCTTTATAATTTTGATAAGAACAAAAGCTATAACATATATTGAAGTATTGCAATGTAGAAGAATATGCACACCAACAGCAGAAATACACGTACAGAAAGCGAAGAATTGAAATCAAACAAAACAAAGAATTTATAAAATCAAGAAATCTAGAAAACTAGAAACGTGGAATGTGAGAATGAAAAAGAAAATAATAAGAAATCAACAATCTTAAGAAAATGAATATTCTGGATGGTTTGCGATATTTTTGAACATTTTGAAATCAAGTATACGTCCAGATTTTCCCTTGTCAAGATTAATCAATTTGTTAACATCTTGAGATTCAAGTTCCCAATCAAATAGTTGTGCGTTCTCTTTAATTCTTTTTGGATTTACGCTCTTTGGTATAACTGCTATACCCATTTGAACAATGTGTTTCAGCGCTACTTGAGCCGGTGTTTTATTATATTTTTTCGCGATCTCCAACACAGTGGGATCTTGCAGCAAATCTGCCACAGAATCTGTCTTTTTCATATTTTGAACATATCCACGTGTACCCAAAGAAGAATATGCCGTTACGCTGATATTGTTATCTTGACAAAACTTCACCTACAAAAAAGTACAAACAAAAAAAAACATAAGTTTTCTATTTATCAAAACTAAATGAAAACTAAAACCTAAATGTGTAAGGATTATAAAACTTACTAATTCTTTTTGTTGAAAGTACAAGTGCAGTTCAACCTGCAAATTTGAAACAGGTACTTTAGCAACATTCAGAATTCGTTTTATCTGCGCAATGTTGAAGTTGGACAATCCAATTGCTTTGGCGCGTCCTTCGAGCACTTGTTTTTCCATCATCGACCATACTTTTATGTGATCCGTTGTCAGATCGAGTTTTACTTCTCCTTTTTCGTTAAATGTTACTATAGCGTCTCCGTCAGCTTCAAATGTAAAAGGGGTGTGTACAAGATAAAGATCAACGTAATCGAGTTGCAACAGGGACAGCGATCTTTTGAGCCATCTTTCGACGTCTTCCGGTCTGTTGCCGCTGGGCGGCAACTAAAAAAAAAAGCGTTATTTAAAGTTACATACGCGCGCGTGTGTCGGTATACTTATATAAAATTTATAAATCCCGAAGAATAATACCTTTGTCGTAATAAACAAATCGGATCGTTTGATTTTATCAGAATCGAGCCACTTTTTCAAGACATTACCAATGATATGCTCATTTTCATAAGCCGCAGCTGTGTCAATGTGTCTGTATCCGGCTTCTAAAGCTGCATTCAAAGCTTCTTCTAGATCGTCCTCTTTAGCCTATGTTTATGAAAATATTTAAAACATATATTTATAATATATGTATTATAATAAACTATAAAATTATATTTTTTTTTTATCTTAAACTCACGCGTTCGACGTTTTGGTAAATAAACAAATATGATAATATTATATAAAATAGCCGCGAAAAAATGTAAAATGAAAAATGATCGCGGTCAGCAGAACGCAATTATGCGCCGGTTTGCAATGTTTTTTTTTTTTTTCTATTGTTGATTAAAAATGTTTGCTTACTCGTTCGGTGGAAAATTGATAAAAATCATAAACGCTGCACTATAGTTGTGATATTTAATTAAATATTTTTCATTAATAAGTACACACAGAATTTGGTTAATTTAACATAAAAAAAATAAGCCCTGATACGCGAGTAAAATAGAGAATATTTGTTGTGAAAAATGTTTTAATACAAATCAAGATTTAACAGAAACAAAATCTATTAAAAAGTTCCTACTGGATCTTTAGCACAAATACAATAATGCAATAACAAAATTGTGCTTTAAATCGATTATATTGCAAAACTTTAAAACTACTGCGATACAAACCGATATCTCCAAAGCCCGATTTCTTCATATCTTCCGATAGCTATCTTCTGGATAAAGATATACAAAAAGATATTTTATCTTTTTTTTTAGATTAATTTATCGAGAACTTATCAGAAGTGAGGAAATTTAGTATAATTAGAAAATACTTGTTCCTTTAGAAGTACAGTCAAACCTCTATAACTCGAAAATCTCTGTAAGACAGAAATTTTATTCACTTCCTTCTCTGCTCCGCGGAAAGGAAAAAAAACGCTTTGATAAGTCGAAACCTTTACAACTCAAAAATTTTAGCTCTTCCCTTGAAATTCGAGTTGTCGAGTTGTTCGACTGTATTTGCAATTCAATTTTGTTTTTTTTTTAGCTTTTATCTTTAATTTATTCAGCTTTTATCTTTAATTTATTTCAGATCAGATAAAGAAGACACGTTGACATTCTTATCTCGCTTTCATCGCGTTGTGAAACATCATTATTTGATTTTAACAAGAAAAGTCTGAATTCTTGACTATGTTTTTACAACGATATGTTTGTTTTTCAAATTACAATACAACTTCCCAAAACGTATACTTCCGCTTTTTCCTCACTCTTTAATTCACGCATTCGCAAAGACTTCCCGTGCAAGCGTTAGCGTTAGTTTCGATTGCATTAAAAATGTCAAATCATGCCGGACAGCATCGAGATTATCAAAGCGGGATACCCCCCATCGTCTCGATGCTCTCGTACACATCAAGGAAAAACCGTGTCCGTGTCCGTGCGCGGTCTCGAGTGTTGCGTTCGAGAGCATCGAAGCGGTAGAAGTACCTCGCCTTGATACTCTCGGTACTGTCCGGCACGATCTGTCATCTGTGATGATTTGTAATTTATATTTAAATAATGAGAAAAGTGATGAAAGAGAAATGTGAGGAAAAAATAATACGTTTTGGTGGATGCGTAGTTCAGAAGAGGATTTTCTATGTACGAGACGTAAACCAAGTTATTTTAACAATTTCTATATGCAACGTAAATCATTACTCGCGCAGTTAGCGGTAAATCTATTTTTTATAGATACAAAAAAAATCAGCAAGTCACAAGCCAGTTCGAAAAATAAAGTGATGTAAGTCGTTAATGATGACTTTTCTTTATAGAGAAGAGATATGTATTGTTTGTTATATACTCACATTCCATGTTCCGAATCCTAGAATAGGCATTTTTTGTCCTTGTGACATAATTATACTAGAATGTAGTGCCATATTCCTGATGTATGTAGTTATGAAGCGTATTTCAATACAGCGCGCGTCGCACAAACTTTCATGAAAGGTCTACCAAGAAGGTCTATTTATACGTCTTCTTGCCCCACTCTTGTCAACAGTGTATACATCTCGTTGAATGTAATGAAGAATCATGTAGAACGTTTCTCAACGTTGTGTAATATTAAATTTAAGATAAGAAAAACAACATGCAAAACCAAAACGCAGAATGATATTGCAAGCTTACTGAATGTATATTGTTTCCAAAATGTTTTGGCTTTGTCATTTGAAGCCATGTAATTATAAACGTTTTAGCTGTATTGTTTTTAGATAAAAAAATGAATAAAAATGTTAAACAGAACGTGTTTGGTCGCAAACAATTATTACACTGACGAAAACGTTCTAAAGTCTCAAAATTAATTGTTCATTCTTTCCCAGCATTATTCTGCGTTGTGTCTGCCACGGTTTTAATTATATTCTTTTTAAATAAGAAACAGAAACCGCTCGTAAATATAACAATAAGAAAGATAGGGAAGGTCGCAAAACGAGCAAAGAATATAAAAATAAATCTAAAAATACAATGAATGGACGCACGTAGTTACATTTTTTTACATAAAGATCTTAGTAATTTATATTAGTAATCTTAGTAATCAATTTGACTTTGCATCGATAAACTGACTTGTTTCAATATCATGGACAACCTGGCGGCTTTCAAGTACTGTATGACCTTAATCTCTATTACTAAGATCTTTATGTATAAAAAAATGTAACTACGTGCGTTCATTCATTGTATTTTTAGATTTATTTTTATTTTAATTTTTGTTCTTATTACTATTATTTATTATTGCGACTGAAGAAGACTTCATTGTAAGTTGAAACGTTTATTATTTGTTTAATGTTTTAATAGACTTATTTAATACACCACCTACTGTCTTTGCTCGTTTTGCGACCTTTCCCTATCTTTCTTATTGTTATATTCTTTTTATCTTAAAAATGAAGAAAAGAGTTTGTAGCAGATACAAAGATGCTCTATTGTGTTTGAAAATAGATACGTATTGTAGAATAACTGAGATCATACTTTTAATTTTTTCGGTAAATATACGGAATAGGGTAGCCCTCTCCGATCGGCTTCTCGTTCACATATATTATTAAAATTATCTTCCGAAGGAACAATATGAAGGTTTTAGTCGTCGCTCACTGTTTATAAAAAAGTTATGATCAAAAAAAGTTTCATAAATAAATTTTTTTTAGGGAGGAGCAGGGGAGAGGGGCAAAGCCCCTCCACCTGCGGGGGAGCGCAGCCCCCCTCCCTGCCTACATGCTTTCAACACACAAAAAATGTACATGTTGTCGGGAAAAAAGATTTATTTATGAAACTTTTTTTGATCATAACTTTTTTATAAACAGTGAGCGACGACTAAAAGCTTCATATTGTTACTCAGGAAGATAATCTTAATAATATATGTGAACGCGAGAAGCCGATCGGAGGGGGCTCTCTTATTCTGTATATTTACCGATTTTTATTTGCTCTATTTCAGAAATAATATTTAATCTGTCTAAATGTACGTTTGCATAAATTGCGGAGCCGAACGTAAAGAGCTATACAGAAGATACTGCCCTAGTGTACTCAAAATCTTAAAATGTGTAAGTAAAATAAGAAAATATTTAAATAAGAAAAATAAGAAACTAAAAAGATAAGTGAGAAAATCTATATATTAGGTCATTAAGTATGAAATTTGAGAAATTTAATGATCCAATATATGTATAATTTAATATTTATATTAAAATCTATATTAATGATATGTAAATTAATTAAATTAATAAATTGAAATAAATCTTTTATTATTAAGTTTGAATATTTTAGGAGAAATGTGACTTAATAGCTGACAAATACATCGAATACGATCCCGTTATAGTCTTTGTTGATCTTATTCTGATCGAAAAACCAGCTTACAGACATCTCTTGTACAACAGCAAGTTTAAGTCATATTGGAAATTGTGTGTAATACTATGGATATTCGAATCGTTCAGGGCTTGGATCTCCTGCGATACAAGAATCGATCTAGATAAGAACGCACATGATAATTGCAATTTTTACGATTTGCTGATTCACACAGCGCTCGCATTTACGGCATTCATTTACGCCGTTATTGTAACGACCGAACTGAAATGGTTTATCGGCGGCAAAAAGCCGTACAAGTACAATGTAAAAGATCTAATCCGTGCTTTAACAATCGGCGGTTGCGGCAAATTGCTGGGTTGTTTAGGAATAGTCTGGAGACACATAGCTTCGGGTCCATATTATCTTCTTGTTCAAGGCTATACTGTTTTATGTCTTTTCACGGCATATTCAGGTAACGGTATTATATAAAACAAGACGCTCACAGTTCTCTATGACTAACTTTTAAAATTTCTATTTTTATTATTTTTCTCTGATAAATATTGTTCAATAATATATACGATATATATATATATATATTTTGGTTTTTCACTGCAGTCGTCTGCAAGAGCGGGAAGGGAGGATCGTTGACTGGATTAATTGCTGGATTTCTCGTTTACGGTTACATATGTATTTCCGTTTCTAATGTTCACATACGTATGCCCGAAATCACATTAATATGACATACGATGTTTTGATCGAGTTACGCAATTCTCAAGCGTCTTTAATAGGAAGAACGCTCCAGCCTAATACTAGTCTATCGAAACCGCAGGAAAATAAATTGATGCTGTTGTCTTCCAACCAAGCTACGGAACACACCATTCTGCGATGTCCCTGTAAGCACATAATCATATGTCTAATATAAAATTGATGTGTATAATAATAATAATTACGAGATATAAAACGCAAAATAATAAAATGCAAAAACATATTTGAGTTCACTTGGAAATATGTAACTTATTAGTTTTTTGCAAACTCTCAGTAACGAAGGACGTTTGAGTGAGATTATTGCTACTGTGTTTTTTTTTTTTATAAATTATTTACGTATAACTTAGCGAGGCATAAAATGTGTTAATAAAACATTGCGGAACTTTTAAAGAATTGTTTCAATATAGCTACAGAGTCATAGATTTTGTTTTACCTGTCTACTAGTTCTAGGTAATCTCGCCAGACGTTGACCGCTCAAATCATACAAACGTATTTGTCTATTGTCATACGGTATTGCCACTATCCCGGTACTAGAAACTGACAATCTATTAACGGCGCTATCCGCACGTATTGTTGCTAACGGACTGCGTATGTTACGTAACTCCCACACTTTTACGCTCCTGTCGTCCGAGCTGGACACTATTTTGTCTTCTCTTGTAAAAACCGCCGATGTTACTGTTCTGTAAGAAACGTTTGAATATCAATATTTTATCAATTGAAACAATAATCTTGCGAAGAAGAATTGTCAGATAATATAAAACGCGCGTACTCCGTGTGGCCTTGAAACACCGAAACCGAGTGTATCGGTTCTCGAAAATCCCACAATCGGAATGTATTATCTCTGCTAGAAGTGACGCACAATCGTTGCATGTGATGCGTCGACACGTATGTCATTTCTTGATCGTGTCCGCATAGCGTATGTATTATCTCTCCGGTTTCCGTATCGTACAAGTTCGCTGTTCTATCCCAAGAGGCTGTAACCAATTGTTCGGCACCGGCAAGCCAATCCGCAGCCATTACGACATTCGTGTGACCCAAAAGTTCACGTATCGGCGTTCTCAATGTCGGCGGATCGTCTTGCTCGTCGTTATTACCGATCAGATTATTTGTAGCGGAGCGTTCGGAACCAACCGTCGGAAGTTCCTCCAATGACGACACTCTTTTCGGTATGTCCCAATCGACAGCGGCCTGCCATACGTGAGCAGAACAGTCGCCGCTCGCTGTTAACGCTAGCTCTCTATTTGGATGAAAACGAACTGAATTCACAGATCCGTTATGACCGTTGTATTGCAGTAAACATCGACTGCTGTCTATCGCCCATATGCGTGCTGTGTGATCGGCAGACGCAGTCGCTACAATCGGCTGGCCTGATCTGCCTACGGACACTTCCCACACACCATCCCGATGACCCACGTATTCTTTTTGCATCGTGCAAGACATAGACGGATTTTTGAAGCTTGATACTATTTTGCTAGTCTGCGCTTTCAACTTATGAGAAGTCTTAATCTTTTGCACTGAGTTTGCACCCATGGCTGAAAATAGAGAAACAATCATTTACTAATTACAAGAATTGATTAATACATCAGTAGTACGAAGCAACGTTTGTTTTATACTACTTATATCACTTATTGTTTTAGATACTGGTGTTACAGACTGTTATCTTCTGTCATTCATGTTTGTCTAATGTCCAATGTATTCACCTCTAGATAAGTTCTCAATAACTTTACTCAAAAGATATCTTTCAGAATCAATTTTCTTTATCTCTATAAAGCTTTATGAAATAAATGTGTTAGTAACTGACAGATATCTTTATCCAGAGAATATAGCTAGCGGGAGGTATGAAGAATCGGGCATAAATGTATTATTCTTTTTTACTTAAATGTACTAGAATAATCTAATAATCTGAAAAGAAGTTCTTCATACATGGGAAAATTCTATATCTGATGATGCACGATTTAAATACAATCATATATGACAGATAGTCTCAATTTCATGTATGATAATACATAACATATAAAATTATATATATAAATAGCATAAAATTGGTTTACGCTATGAAATACTTTTCTCAGGTAATTATGTTATCTATAATATTTGATTATACATTAATCAAAGAGTCTTACATTTCTGTTTAGAAAGATTTTTTGTTTCTGGATAATCTGTGAGATCTCTAGGAGGTAAACTTCGTTCACCTGATCCATAACACTCTCTTTCAAGTCTGTCATTTAAGATGTCAATCTTTTCCTGCACTGCAATGAAATAAAATACAGTTTTAATACGTAATAAATATAATAAAAACCAAAGTGATTACAAATATCTTGTACGTACGTCCGAGATTTTCATTGTACAACATTTCAAATTCTTTTTCTATCTGTTGAAAGAGATCATATAAACGGCATCGCAGAGCCGACGGGATGGAAGTGTCCTCTAACTCGGAACGAAAGTTGACATAGTGCAACGTAGGTTGCAACGGGGTCGAACCGCTCTGACTCTGTAGCTCTGTGTCAGTACTACTTTGAACACGAGGTCCTCTATAGAGATCCTCTACAGAGATTCTCTTTGCTTTAGTACTGGATTTATTTCCAGTTGCAGTTGATGGTTCTCCTGGCATGACTTGTCACTTAACAAAAATTATACAAACAACAGACAAGCATGTTCTAGCGATCCAACTCTGTGACATGTATTGCTGATTACTCTTACTTTAGAATACCCATATCATTAACCATATACATTATGCACGATCTATAAAAAACAAAAAAACAAAAAATACATTAATTAGATTAGATATTCTTTTTTTAGAGAGAAGGAGTGTGATAATGTGTAAGTGTGTTGTTTCATTCATCGATGTTGATTGCGCAAACATCAAGATAGATTTCAGAAATGTATTCAAACAGCAATAGAAACATACAGTGAAGAATGCCATAACTCGATAATATCTTGTTTATATCTGAGAGTGACAGAAAGTGTGTGCGTGTTGCGCGCGCGCGTGCGTGCGGATATGTATGTGTGATACATTAGAGCTATATATATGCGGAGTTCGAAATAGAGATGGTCAGAATTTGAGACGAAAAATATGTTGCGATTGATCATTGACAAAACTGACAAGTAAATATTCACTTCTCTGCTCCTACCGTTTTCTATAAAACCCAATTTGATACTGATGTTTTTCCCTTTTATTGCAACTTCTACGCATCACCAAAACACCGTAACGGTTGCTATTGAACGTCATCGTTATGCCAATTTTTTTTTTCTTTTTTTTTTGGTTTTTAAGAAAGAAAGAACGTATTTCTCTATAGGATAAGATCTAATTTTTAGTATTTACACATAAAATGAAGAGAAAATTTAATTACTCGAATCTTGAAACCATAACCGCGGAAACAAATCTTATCGATGTGTTAGTCACTCTTTCTTGTTGTTTTGCGTAAACATCGCAATGTTGTTGAATGAAAATTTGACATTAATTTGACCTGTCAGTGTCTGTCATGCACATCAACATGGTGCCCCGTACGTATCAGATACACGAAGTCTTTCCTATCACTACCGCCTAAAGATAGCAGTTGTGTCGCGGACAGATTTCTTACACTTCTGGTTTGCGCACTTTCAACACCTCAGTGCACTCTTCTCATCATCGAGATCAAAGTGAAAGGAAATTCAATTTATTTTTGAATCAACAAAAATCAGATATATTTTTTCTATTACGTTGCAAAATTTACTGATAGAAAAAACTTCTTCTTTTCTACATATATATATATACATATGTACTTCTGTTATTGTATATGATACAAATTACATTTATAGTCTTTATAAAAATCCACATGTTCGTCTGTAATTAAGTGCTTGTCAATGTCGATGGTGCCAATATATTCTTCGAATATAGGACTTAAGTTACAGTCCGTACATTTTTTCTTAACCGCAGTAGTTTTTTTTGGGACGGGTACAGCAGGCTTGAATGCCACACCAGTCGGGTCATATTCTGTATAAAGCTCCTCCGGTGTTCTAAAATTCATAAAAAAAAAACGAATATATACATATATATATATATGAAAATAATACAATATAACAATCGATGAAAGCATCAATACTTACAGCTTCGCGGTTTCAATAGATAAACTACCTTCACCACTCGTGGGCACTTCGTACGCGATATTTCTAGCGAGTTCTCTCACGACGCTATGATAGTGACGCTGTAAAAATATGAGGCATTGAATATATCGTATCTATTATTTAGTAATCTCGTTCACAAACGGAAGTAAACCACGTACCTGCAAAGCAACAAGCTCCCACAATGCGGTGCAATGTGCATTGCAATAGTCAGGTTCTTCGATTTCGGCCTGGTAATAACCGTCTGCGGCGCAATCGGTGTCCAGTAAGATTTGAGACGCTTTATCGAGTTGCATAATTTGCTTGATAATACCGAGAATGCTCAGCGCCGCATTGTGTTGCGATTGCAGCGTCAACATGCTTATTCTCTTCACAAAGGCTATCAAACGTGAGTGCGCGATTCTCTTTCGCTGATGTGTAAGAAGCATTATCAGCGTCTTCAATATAATCTCACTTTCCGCGTGTGTTTTCCCGCAATGGACATTTAATATATTTTTATACAAATGCACGTAAAATCTGGAAAAAATATATATCAGAAAGAAATGTAATTTGTACGAAACACATAACATAAAAAAAAAAAAAAAAAAACATTAGATTTACATACAAACCTGTACACATCGATATTCAGTGCTGAACCTTGGCCAGAAAATATAGCAAATATGCACTGAACGCAATGCAATTGCTCTCTCAATCCCAAATTACCGTCTTCTATTACCTTATCTATAGCAGTTATTAAATCTTGGTAAAAATTGATATTGATACAATGTGCGAATCTGAAAAAATGTACGGCAAAACATTGAAAACAGACGCGAGAACTATGACCAAGTGATGTGTGATATAAAAAAGTCTCTTACTTGGCTAAACCTTCCAAACACGTCGATAATACTTTGCTATTAGGAGCTTGTTTCAGAATTCGAAAATATATGGTAAATACTATGCTCGTTATTTCCGTGAGAATCTTGTGTTTTGTCTCCTTATTTTCCTCAGCCTTTGTTTCGAGCAATTCTTTTTCCACTTGTTCCAGTTTCTTATTCTTCTTTTTTTCTCGTTTGCTTAACGCGATGATTCTCTGTTTGTGAGACTTGAGCGTTTTTTGTTTCATTTCATCTTCCTTTTCCTTATCAAGATTAACGTCTTTCAAGCGTAAGGATTGTAACACTTTTATCACTTCAGGATGAACGGAATGTTTTCTTGACTTGATGTACTGATTTAATTTTCGAACTATCTACAATTTAATCAGAAAGAATTTATGTAAATTTTAGAGAAATCAAGCGTTCGATTTTCGATTTTTATAATGCAAAAAATACTTACCGTAAGTGACAGTTGACCACGTTTATCTTCTTTGAATATTTGAGAAATACATTGCGCTACTCTTTCTCTTACACTACTCCGCTTATTATCCAAGAAAGGAATAATATAATTGGCTATGTTATCGGAGTAATTAAAATACGGATGAGTCGTGATAAGTTCGCACATGCACGATATTGCGATTTCGCCTAAATTGACTTCTCGTTCCTTCACCACTCGCGTGTCTCCTTTCTTTCGAATCAAAATCTTTGTCATCTTTTCGAGTTTTCGCATATAATTTTTGTAATTTCTCAACAATGTACCTTCATAATTCTGCAGCGCCAAAGTTTCTTTTTTCACTAAATCAAACAAAATTCGCGAAAAATTATTATTGATTGAATAGCAAACATATGCGATTTTTCGTGCATTGTAGTATCTTTAAATGTTATTTGCGTACACTTTACTCCTTCTTGAGAAATTTGAATAATGCTATACGACGGTAGTATGTCTTTGAAGACTTCTAAAAGAGACACCATTGCTAGTTTTCTCACAGTGATATAAATCTCAAAAGATTTTTCGTCCATCATATCTAACAACAACTTGAGATTTCCTATTTTCTGCTCGGGATTTTCCAAGATACCACTTGATAATATTCCTATTTTGAAACGTGTAGACTGTAACAGTTCTTTGCGAGCTGCCAGAAGTTCCACAGTAGAAACTGTCAGCTTATCAGTCTCTTCTTGCAAATTGTTCTGTGAACACACGAATAGATTTATATTTTGTGTGTGCTTATTATATATTTAGAACATAATTTGATCTTACATATGCATCCATATCAATTTCCATGTCACTAATATCTTCCTGTTCGTCTTCTTTATTTTGTTTCTGTTCACTGTCATTTGCAATTTTATCATCTTTCTCGTCTGCAATGTCATCATCTTTTGGAAGAAGACGTTTTTCTACTTTTCCTATCCGTGTTTTCACAGGGAGCAATAAGCGAAATGATTTTCCAGCATCCTCTTCCATAAATTTTAATATTTTGTTCTCATATAATTTTTCTGCTTGATTGTCATTTACATCTTTGCTCTGTTTTTCGAAGACCTCGCTTTTACCTGATTGTGTTCTGCCTTTACTTGTCCTAAAATTACAAATAGAAATTAATAACAATTTTTGTTTTTTTCTTGTTTTATATACAAATCATACCCTTTTAAAGAAGTTTGTTGGTTTTTTTTGTATCTCCGAGTCTTAAGTTTTCCTTGTTTTGTGAGTTTGTTCTTTATTTGATTATTTTTCTTAATCTTACTGACTTTTGGCTTCTTAAGTTTCTGTAAAAAAAGAGGTTAAATATTTTTTTTCTAGAGTATTAATTTCTGCAAATTCAAGAAAATATACTTAGATTTAATAATGCTTACCCCCATATTTAAACAATATTACTAAATTGTATTACTTTTGCACTTTAAATTCAAATTTGACAAAACTACACAGTTGAAACGAGTTAAAATGAAAACCATGTGTGTGCTGCCGATATATAGCACTCGTATATCCCTACGATGCACCGGGAGATCACGTGTGCATGCCCACATGAGTGATTGGCGCATGCGCCGAACTAGTGCACAAAAATTGAACTAATACGGCAAAAGTCGACAGTTTTAAACAAATAAATAAAGCGACAATGTCTTACATGTATAAAACATTAAATGATCTGGCATGACAAAAAATTGCAGTAAATGTATAGTTTTACATTGAAATTTCCACGCGCAAGTATTTTCAACTTCTTTGGTACTTTCCTTCCTCACAAATTTTTTTTTTTTTTTGTGGGAAAGCATATAAAGTTTTTACTTAAAAAAAAACTTGTCCTTAAAAAACTTGTAATTTATATTTTTTTACTTTTAAAAATAAGTATTATATATAATTAATTAAAAATAATACATAGTTATAATGAAATGTTACAATCTCAAATTAATACAATCTCTGTGCCATGAAAAGTACAAATTTATATACGTGATGATAATCACATTGTAAGTGTGTGTATAAATCTAATGATAAAAGTTACATATATTTACACGTTGAAAATATATATATATATATATATATATGTACATAACTAAATTGTTTTATATTAACATTGAAGTTTTTATTGCGCTAGTCAAAAATAGAAATTGTCTTTAAAAACACACATATATTATCATGTAATATTAAATTATTATTTTACATCTTATCATATAACACTAGATGAACTAGATAGATGTCAACCAAGCAGTTCAAAATCTTCATCAGATGTGTCGTACTGACGTTCAATGTGTTCAAAGTCTACAACTGTAAAAAATAATTTAAATTTGTGTGTAGAATAAACTAATAACAAAATAATGTGTGTGTGTGTGATGATCTCTAAAAATAACTTTATCAATATTTAGTTTGACTAAAATGCACTACACTAAGTGTAGTTGATATTTCTTAGATATTAATGTTGCTATAGTAAATATGAAAACTCAATATATATGACACATTAATAAGAAGCTTGATATTATAGACATATGAAGCACGTACGGCACATGCAGTTTGAATTATATCAACAAAAATATAAACTCTGTGTTCTTCGATGTTTACACATTGTTTATCTTCGTGACAGATACTTACAACTGGAAGCTGCTTTCACATCAGAAACAGCTTCTTTCGCTGGTGACCAGTGTACCAAACGTTCTGTACAAAGATCAAACAATGGCTGATGCTTTTCTGGCAAAAGTAATTCTTCTTGCATTGATTTACATAAAGATTTGAATTCCTTTTCTGTGGCACAGAAGAAGCACTAGAATTGTAAAAAGTTATTACGAATTCTGTGAATTTCTTTTTTTTTTTTATTATAATCATTTTGTAGATTTGCACGTTTACAATATATAAACGCAAGTAGCTAACAATCAATTTCCAAATTTTAGCAAGTTGTATTAATAAAATAGACAAATATAAACTCTTTCTTTTAAAAACCTTTTATCATCAAATCGCAAAACAATATGTAGAAATAACAATAGTCGTCTGTATGCACGATAGATTGAGTGAGTTTCTCATTATATATAAGCTATGGCTTATTTGTTAGAAGCGTGAAGACAAGAAAAACATATTTAATAATTAAATAGGTACACTGCGTGTTTGGCTCCTATTGGCAATTTTTTTTCAACTTCACTCTATTCCAAGTTAGTTTGTTGTGATATAAATGAGAAACTATATACTAACAAGTGCTACAGAAGGATCCATATCCGTAATAGGCATTCGACTAGCTGTTTTGCAGTGATACGTTGCATCCATCTCGATTTCTTCTTCGTTTGTCTTGTCTTCAATATTTCCTGATTTCTGTGTAGTATGAGGATCCAAATAAATTACTTCATCTCCTAAGAACATTATTTCGTGCATCTTTATTCACATAGCTATGCTTATTGTGTGAATTTTATAGCTTTCAAAAAAACATCTTAAAATATAACATCGTAAAGAATTTATATTTTATTAGCTTTAAAATTCATAAAGAAATTTATATAGCAGAAATTTTCTTCTATACAATGTCATATATATATATATATTTATATAAATGTTATATCTCAATAAAGTTTTGTCGTGATGATATAAAATATAAAAAATAATTTAAATCTATATTTACAATTTAATTATTATTATTAAATAATAATTTGTATTTAATATTTACGATAAAAGTAAATCTTTTTAAGTGAAAATCTAGTATACTCTTAAAACTGTTAATATTTAATATAAATTTAGTAGAAATAATTTTAGAAAGTAGCTTATACAAACCTACACAACCAATAAAGTATAGAGCAAGATTAGGTTTTCCTCCGATCACTCCCAGAGATTGTGAAATCTTAAATGATGTCTGAAAAAATTGTTTTTTTTTTCTAATTGACAATATTCTACATACAATTCCATGTGTACGTATTAAAATAACTTAATAGTTTCACCAAGTTGTGTCAATTAAAATTAATTTATGCTATAATTGCTATATATTACCTTAAGACTATTAATATACACAGGATTTATCTCACTGAGTCCGAGGCGCAGAGGAATTAACAACAATAAAGGTTTCCATTGACTAGGTGCCCTCAAGGGCATTTCTCCATCTATTTCCGCCGTCACGCCCCCATCTATTCTACACTGTCTCACTGTGTCAATTTTATATACATATATATATACACATGTATAATATACATATATGTATACACATAAATAACACAAACATATATGTGTATGGTTTTTATGTGGTTTCTATATGTGATGTTTGGGAGTAAATAGATTTTTTTTATTTTATAAATTATATAAAATATGTACGTATTTTGTAACACACACATTATGACAAATATATTGTCAATATAAATAAATTATTACACTTTTAACATTTAATAGACCTACATACTTACAAATATCGTTAATTATTAATGTATTGTCTAGCGCAACATGTATAGTAATGGAGCTCCATTCATCATACACAACTAATTTCCTGAAAAATAAAATATATCAAAACATTAAGTGAAGGAGTTAATAAGTAACTAAATAAGTAAAATGTGCAATTATTAATAAAACTAAATTAATACTAATTTGACTTTGTATGATGTATTTGAAAAAGAGAAAATAAAGATTTGAAGTTTACACGAATATATACAGTAGGGAGCACTATATCGTGCGGCTCCAGGGGAANTATTTCTCGGAAATTTCTTCTTTAGCTGCTCCTATTACCGCGCGCTCTTCTCCTTCGATCTCGGACCGTTGGCGGAGACCGAAGAAGAACGGCGCGCGATAGTACAGAGCATCCAAAGGAGAAATTTCCGAAAAATATTTCCCCTGGAGTCGCACGATATGGTGCTCCCTACTGTACATGCATATATTTAGTTTTCACAAATATATACATGCATATATTTTGTGTAGATAAATGTCTGTTGATTTTCATTAAAAGTATTTTTAGTAATGCATACTTTAATACTTGTGCAATGGTGTTAGGTCCAAACCACTGTCCAACTTCTTTTCCTTCTGATGCACCCATCAATGCAATTTGATGAATAGAAAAGGCAGCAGCTCGTTTATCTTCAAAGCGTTTTAAAATTTTTATATACGTACTGTTCTTTGTTTCTGGTATCCATTGCCAGTCTTTACCTATTTTATATGTCAGATATTATTGAGTTTGAATTATAAAATAATTTATATAATATATCCTACACATATGACTCAAATTTAAACTTAGATTATTTTTTTTTTTTATATATGTAAAAATATATATATATATAAGGTTTACAAATAATTTATTTTACTAAATGTGACTACATTGTTGAGGTGTTGTATTTGTTATACCTAAATGTAATGTGATTAAAGCTTGAGCAAGCACCATTTGACCACATCTCAACATACAACCCCAACCTTTGTCTGATGTGAATGTAGAGCTACAACCACCAATAGGAATAAAACCTTTGCGATAAGTAAACCACAATTTTGATCGGATATCTCTGCGTATTGCATCGAGTTCTAAAATTGAATACAATATTAAAAATTATTATGTTCAAAATAATTGCGGTTTAAATAATTCCCATACCTTTTATAGCGTTGTACTTCTTGCCAAGAATCCAAACAGACTCATCTATTTGTGGTATATCTTCTGCTTCATCAAGAACATTTTGCGTGAATAGACTGTCCATTATTACCGCTTGCACATGTAGTATCTACAAAGTGCAAAATAAACATTACTAAAAAAAAAAAAAAAGAAATATTATTGCAACGATAAATAAAAAACATAAGTTTTATAGAACTGAAGATAGTACTGGAAGAGAGAGAGATACAACTCTCTAAATTGTAGGACAAATGATTTCCTATTTGTCTTTCAAGGCAAATGAGAGCGATCTTGTGCTCATTTGTCTTCGATTTTATGTAGAACGCAAGATCACAAGAGCCAAAAGGATCACTCGAAGTAAGAAAAAGAATTCATCTAAAACATGAATCGAACTTATTCATATAAAAACGTTCAAGAGGTTAAGAAATCTGTCATCAATAGACTGTAGCATAAACATAGATGAACATAGACAGGTTGCGTTCGAGAAGATCACGTTATTCGCGCTATCTAGCGCTAAGGATCCGTGTCCGGTATAAGGGCGCGGTTACATGCGAACCGAATTATCGGAAGAAAATTTTATAACACACAGGAAGTCAACCAATCGCAAGTAAACAAGCGATTGCGCTCTGACTTTCTTTTCGATCGAGTCGAATCGCTCGATCGAAGGCGCCAATTTGACAAATCGACGATCATCTTGATTCATCGCGACGCGATCAATCGTTTCGGAAGCGTTTCAATCCGTCGAAATTGCTAAAAGTCATCACAAAGGTAACTTGTCTAGAACTTGGACCAAGATTTTGATCAGTTTCTTAATAGCAGACACATGTCCTTGGTCCAAGTTAATTTCGTGATTTTTTATATACATAAGAATATTTTATTCTGAAACAATATAACATGCTCTGAATACAAACGGATGTGTATTTATAGGTATATATATATATATATTTAAACACAGTAGCACATGTATTAATAATATATTCGATTAAATATAGAAGACAATAACAAAAGAAATATTGTAGAAAATAATGAAGATGTCACTCGATCGAATTAAGGGTGATATATCTTCTATGTGTGATAATCTTGGTTCTTCCTTAAAGCCCATTCTACAGCTTGTTCTACATTGATCGCAAGCGCAAACGCAAGGTATAGTAGATCTCGTAGAATTGACCAATCTTGCTGGTCAATTGGCTGATTTGATCAATTCTACCAGACCTGTTCCTTGCGTTTTTGCGCTTGCGATCAATGTAGAACAAGCTTAAAGCCGATAACTTTATTCGCTGTCGCTACCGCCGCTACCCGACACTGATTTTCTAGATACCGGGGATGCGGATCTGTAAACAAAAGTTGTGTCATTTTTCCGTAGCGAGAGAAAGAGGAAAGCGAGCGGTGAAAGCAGAGAGAAAAAAAAAGTTAAAGAAGACAGACGCAAGAAGGAAGTTAAAAGTGGCGAAAGTGATAGGAAAATAAAGTTTTACACTCGAAAAAAAAAAATACAAACTAATAAAGTTTAAAATTAGCGCGCGCGCGCGCGAATACAACAACCGCGATCTTACCGCGCCGATCCGCTCGGACTCCTGCTTCGGGAACCACTCTTTGATCTAGAGCGTGAACGAGATCTGCTGCCGCTTCTCGATCTGGACTTGGATCTTGAAACGGATTTCGAATTGGACCGCGACCGACTCTTGCTTCTCGATTGGCGACGTTCCTCGGAACCTGAGCGCGAGCCACTTTTCGATCTGGATCTCGAGCGTGACTTTCTTGAACCGCTCGGCGATCTGGACTTGGAACCGCTCTTTCTCGAGCTCGACCTTGATCTCGCTTTCGATTCGCTTCGCCGAGAACCGCTATTGGATCTTGAACGCGACCCGCTTTTCGCTGATCCTGATCTTGATTTTGATTTTGATTTTGATCTTGATCTTGATCTTGATCTTGATCTTGATCTTGACCTTGATTTTGATCTTGACCTTGATTTTGATCTTGATCTTGATCTTGACTTTGATCTTGATCTTGACTTTGATCTTGATCTTGACTTTGATCTTGATCTTGACTTTGATCTTGATCTTGATCTTGATCTTGATTTTGATCTTGATCTTGATCTTGATTTTGATCTTGATCTTGATCTTGATCTTGATTTTGATCTTGATCTCGATCTCGATTTCGATCTTGATCTCGATTTCGATCTTGATCTCGATCTTGATCTTGATCCGGATGCCGATCTACTTTTCGATCTCGAGACGCTTCTGGATCTGGATCCAGAAACGGATCGAGATCGAGATCGAGAAACTGAACGCGAACTGCTTCTCGAGCGGCTTCCGGACTTGGATCTTGAACGAGATCTCGAGCGCGAAGCTCGAGACTCTTCCGAATCGGATCGGATTCGCTGTCTGCTGCTGCCGCTGCGCGCTTGGTTTTCGTTGCCGCTTTCAGCACTGTAATAATAATAATTATTATTTTTATACAATATCATATAAATCGTGTTATACATTTGAATCTTGATTTACTTTTAAACCAAACGCGAAAATCTGCTTACCCGCTAGCGATTTTAAGGCCACCGGCGGAATCGCTGTCGGATTCACTCGTCGAGATAGTTTCCTTTGATTTAACCAATTTACCTTTGAGCGTCTCAACCGCACCTTTGCGTTTCTCTTTCTTAATTTTGGTAGTTTTCTTGCCGCGTTTAGGCTTCGGTTGATCGCTTTCCGATCCTGTGGAAGAGTCATTTTCACAGTAGTTCGTGCGATCGAAAAAGATCGAGTGTAATAATAATAAACTCTATTTTCTTACCACTTTCGCCACTTTCAGCTTCCTTCTTGCGTCTTCCTTTACCTCTGCCTTTTTTATCTTTGCTTTCGCCGCTCGGTTTCCTCTTGCGTTTTCTATCTCTCGTTGTTTCATCCCTGCCGCCTTCGTCCACGCCGGATCCTCCACTGTCGCTGATATATTGATCGGTTCGAGGTCTTTTGCCTTTCTTCGCAGGTTTCTCCGATGGCATTTCTCCGAATACAAGCGCGTTCTTGGTTTTCTCCACGTATTCTTGTCGCTTCTGCAGCATCTCTTCTTCTTTTTGACGTCGCATCTCTTCCAGTTTGCGTTGCTCTTCCGTTTGACGCATTTTGAAAGCTTGTCTATAAATTTAGGAATTTTTTGTGTAATATAAAATAACGTAATTTTTCAAAGAAATTGTAGTACAAACGAAAGAACGTGACGTACCTCTCTTCTTCCTGCTTTCGCCTCAACATTTTTTCTTCTTCGTCCAATCTTCTTGCTCTCGCGACGTGATACTGAGCTTGCGACAGTAAATCTTGACACCTTCTGGCTTCGCCATCGGCCAGTTGCTCCATTCTGTCGCCGTGCGCCGACAAATATTGGAAATATTTGTGCGAAAGACCCAATTCGTGAACCGCCTGAAGTACAGTGGTCAGAGTTGATTTTTCATCTTTCAGGATTTGCGTGGCTAATCGTTGAAGTACAAGAGCGATGTTGTACAGTAACACGGTGTCCTGTGGGGCTACTCGGCGCGCCTAAAAATTGCATCAACATAAAATATTACATGTTACAAACATCAAAATTGGAAAATAATTCATTGAACTTAAAAGACACACACAAACGCGTTACTTACTTTCAATAACGTTAGTTTTGCTTCTTTCAATTTGCCAGCTTTGAAATAAGCTCTACCGAGATATTGCAACACTTCCACGTGATGATATTTATAAAATTTACGCAAGCAATTTTCATACTGCAAAATAAAGAAAAATAAGGTTGACATCGACACAGCTTGTATTTATCAATTATACACATGTGTGGCACTATTTATCATTTGAATAGCACCGACTACTTACCATTTGAATAGCACTGACGAATTGTTTTTGCTCCACATAAATGTGCGCGATATTTAGCCAGACGTCGCAAAATTCCGCTGTCGCTTCCCGCACTTGAGCGAATATATCTCTCGCTTCGTTCACGCAACCCTTGTGCGCGAGCACAGCGCCGATGCCGTTCGCAGCCCAGATATTTTTCGGATCGTTTCTCAAAACCTAACAAAAACAATCTTATGTATTAAATTGCAATCTCACTCTGAACGATCTGTCCACGCGTGACGCGTTTCTTCTTTGTACCTGTTTGTACATAGCCAGTGCTCGATCTTGATGTCGCTTCTCTCTTTCCTTGTCCTTTCCACTCTGATGCAACGTCTGGAGCCAGATATTGCCCAAAGCTATCAGTGAATAAGCGTCTGTGCTTGTTGACGGATTCTTGAGAATCCTTTCGAATTTCTTCTGACCGGGACCCCACTCCATCTTGGCCAGATGCAGATTGCCCAGTAGGGACCACGCATCCGGATGCTCGTTGTTGATTCTCAAGGCGTCCTTGAACCAATCGGACGCCTCGTATATCTGTCCCTTGTCTCTGGCCATGCAGCCGAGTCTAAGATAACAATCCACGTAATTCGGATGCTCTTTTAGAATGTCTTTGTACAGTTTCTCCGCTCGATCGAATATGCACAACGCTTCGTTGAGTCGCGCCAAGTTATATGTGGTTGTCACCGCTATCGAATTGTAATAGACCGAATCGTGCAGGGCATCCGCTTTCGAACGCGCCAAAGATTCCTCCAGATTTTTTCTGGCTTCTTCCAAATTACCGAGTCTGAATACAATGAATGTAAAGAATACATGGTGGTTAGTGTATTTTTAACGAAATTAACGTGTAATGTGTAAATCACATGCGCACCTGTAATGTAACGCTCCCACGTTGTTTAAAATTTCAGGTGGTATATCCGCCTGTACTTTCTCCTTTAGAATTCTGGTCGCTGTTCCGTAAGCGTTCAAGGCTGCGTTGAGATCGCTTTGCTCCAATATCTGCGCCAACTCGATCCAGGCTTCGACGTCGTCGGGAAACTGTTCCGTTACTTTTCGCAAATGATTTTTCGCGATGTCGCGTTTCGATTGCGAACTCGAATTCGCGTACAGGGATCCCAGAATCTTCATCGTTTCGTAATTGCCGGGTTGTACTTTCAATACTTTTTCGAAACATTGTGCCGCCTTTTATTAGAGAGATAAAAGTATTACTTTATGGATTTGTGATCGATTAGTTTTAAAAATACATTTTGCACACACACACACACACATGGCGGCGTGTGTATTGTTCTTACATTCTCGGAATCGCCGCGATAAACGTACATCTGTCCCAAGCCGAAATGCGGTAATACGAACACAGGCGGAGCGAACTGCGTTGCCTGATAGTAATATTGAAACGCTTGATCGTAATCACCCTGAAATGATAGATAGATATTACCGTTTTATTGAACGCTTAAAACGCGCCGATGCGGAATATAAATTTTCAAACAAATTTCTTTCGACAAACTTACTTGAACGTGAAAAGCTCGAGCCAGTTGATAACAAGATTCCGCTCGCATGGCTTCGTTTTCTGTATTGTGAAACGCGTGCAGAGCCAAATGCTGAACTTTACTGTAATCTTTCTTGAAGAAGAAATGATTCGCTAGATGATTCAGTACCATAGGATTCGTCGAATCGATTGTATAGGCTTTTGATAGCATTTGTACGCCAGTTTTTATACTATCGGGCTGTTGTTGATTCAGTTTCAAAACGGAAAGACCAACTAGCGCACCGACGCATTGTCCATCCAATTGCAAAGCTCTCTCGAACGCGAGTCGAGCTTTCTCTTGGTTGTTCAGTTTCATGAAACAATGACCCATTCCCAATCTGACGGCAGCTGGACAGTGCGGATTAGTCCTCAGAGCTTTTTTGTAAAATGCAAGAGCGCCTCTGTAATCTTTTTTGTTAAAAGCGATACAGGCTTTGCCCAGTAGAGAAGGTATGTTATTTGGCAATTGATTAAGCACAAAATTGAACTGAGCATCAGCCTGCTCCATTTTGTCACCTTCGAGTAAGCAGAAATAAGCTCTGCCGAGCAAGTGATTCTGTAATTGTAAAAAATAAAATTGAAGCAAGTGTAAAAACTGAAGCCAAAATAATATATTTGTTGTAAAAATAACAATTGAAGAAACGTACCTGATCGTACATGATGATTTTGTCAGCTGTTGTATACAATAATGTAGCTTTTGTAAACAAATCTCTCTTTTTGTCCTTATTTTTTTCTTTGTTGGCTTCCTGAACATAATAGGCAGCCAACATGTCGAGTGCACGCATTTGATCTTTTTCATAGTCACGGTAGTCAATATTTGCATCGAGACGAGATGATTCAAGTATCTTAATAAAATCACTGATCTTTTGCTGCTTGTAGTATTCCAACTAAAACAAAAATAAATCCCGATAAGTGAGAAAACTACATCTACAAATATACTTTTGTTTTTGCTTCAAAATATAAATACACACGTATATAAAATATATATATCAGTTTTTACACATACAGCCAAATTAACCCAAATATGGAGCTGAGCATGTTCCTGTCGTAGAATTCCTAAAACTTCATCCCCTTCTGGTAACTGATCCAAGCCAAGTTCTATGACCTGCAAGATTGTAAGAAATTAAACTCTCTATTGTAATTAAATATTGTTGACTATTAAACATCTTAATTTTTACATAGGCAGTAAACGGTCTGCATTGAGGAGGTTAAGAGAGACTTTGTAATAATATTATCATTTGTGTTAAAAAACTTTTGCACTTTAAACATATTTTTCTATTTGTGAGTAGACTACTGTTAAGGAAGCGAATTAAGCATATGATCGGTAGAACAAAAAATACTTACCTCATCCGTGTCACGAAGTGGTATCTCTATAGACCCCGCCATTATTGTAACATACGTACGATACGTACTAAATATCAACGATCAACCAACCGAGTAACTGCGAGTAACTGCGCTTCCAACAGTTCCAGCTATGAAGTCTATGCAGTCACGTGATCAGTTGAAAGGCTCTGCTTTACAGCGAGTCACATAAAACACACAGACCCAGGGGATCGATTCCGTATCCATGTGATCTAATGAAAATTACAAAAGTGATGAAGCAAATTTACCAATTGTTGACCAATGAGATCATAGATATTTTAGTGAATTCGCTTATTTTTGTAATTTTTACTACACTGCGTGATACAGAATCGATTCCCAGTTAGGTTCATATAATAATAAATTGGTTTTCATAGGCTGCGTTTTTTTTGAAAAGCGCGCTATCACCGTTGGCGCGACATTTTGTACTTCAATGAAAGATGAGAATCAGAACGAACAAAAAAACTTTCAATCACATTCTCTACCAGATACATATATTTATACATACAATATCTATTTATACAAATAAATTATTTTTCCTTATACATATATTTACATGTATATACATATATAATTGTTTTTATACACATAGTTACGAATAATTATATATATACATATATAAATTAAAATAAATAAATATTCTATATATATTTCGGAAAGGCGCGAGTCATTGGATCGTCGTTACGATCACGTTTTTTCACACTCTTCAATCTTTTCGGTTGTCCCGTGCTTTCGTACACTTATGCCATTGCAAATATTTACATATACATATATACACAACGTATGTTAACGCACGTGGTCTAATTAAAAATAAAAACAAGCGCAATAATAAATGTTGCGTTTAGAGAAAGTGAGCCATGGGATCTTCGTAATGCTTGCGCTTCATTTGATACGCTTCTATTTCTTCGGCGGACGGTGGTTTTGCCTCATACATGCTGTTGTACGGACGTTTTCTCTCGTCCATTCGCAAAAATTCATCCGTCTTCTTTGTGTGTTCCACTTCCTTCCTCAGTGCTTCTTTCAGTTTGTCGTCTGAATTTTTCAGCTTCTTGTTCTTTCGATACTCTTTTTGTTTTTGTTTCTTTAATTTTCGTTTCGCCGCTTTGCTTTGTTTTTCCTTTTTATTCTTTGCGCCTTCGTCGTCCGACGAGAACTCGCTGTTTGAGGAACGATCGTTGTTCGTTTCTTCCGTTTCGAATATTTGTGCGGGCGGCGCGTTGTCTTGTTCAATCGCCGCGTCTGCCGTTTTCTTCTCGGAGTTCCGTTCCCCGGTACAGTATGAATTTTTGATGAAGGATCGGCAGCATTGATAGCCCCACTGTCCGTCCTGCCAATAAGATCCCCAGACCGACGTGTGATTGTTCGGATAGACATCTTCCTCGTACTTGGATCGTACTATCTGTCTATCTTGGCCTTTTATTATTTTGCCATATCTTGAATATTCCACATAATCTTCGGTTTGCGCCAACAAGAGAGTCTTCGGCGGCGCCTCGAGATGCTTCTCACCTCCGTAACGTTCGATTATGCTGTCGCGCGCCTTGTCCTTCAATTCGTCACGTTTCTTGTCGTATTCCTGCTTCAACAATTCCAATTTCGTAGGCTCGGCAAGCAGATGAACGTCCACTCCTTTCTCGTGCGCGTCCCAAGCGAACAACTGTGCGTTCGCATGTTTCTGTGTGTCACCGGAGAAACGTATGAAGTTCTCTCCTTTGTAATCCACTTCGGTATCCGCACCTACATATGGATTGTCTCGCATGCTCCTAGTTTTTGGATCGTAGTAGGCCGAGTTGGGATCTAAATTGCGCAAGTATTTTGCGGTGTCTTCTCGAATACGCAAATTTCTCACGGTTATACGTTGCTTGGAGTCGACCTTTGTGCCAGGCATGTCAACTTCGTCTACGTACTTGTCCTCATCCTTGTCCGAGTTGTCGTCTTGTTCGTCACTCTCCTCCTCCTCCTCCTCCTCCTCCTCTGTCGCGAGTTTCTCAGCGCGCATCTGTCTCTTGGCTTCCTCTATTTTCTGATGTTCCTCCACTATGGCTTTGTGCTCAGCCGGATCGTAACCCGCCCATCTGTCTCTTTTGCCGTCATAATCCAGCGAAAGTTCCGGTTGTGTGAATTCGTCCGGAGCTATTTTGGAATTCGTGTATTTCGCTCCGACCTTGCGCGGTCTCTCCATGCATTCCTTCCTCTTGTGAGTCATCGCGCCGCAGTTCTCGCAGGCGCCTTTGCGGTACTTGTTTGCTACATGAGATGTGTCCACACCGCGATTGTACCACTCGTCGATGGAATTGAATTGCTTCTGTTTTTCGGGCTGAGGTCTCTGATGCTTCAGGGTAGGTGTCTTAGCACCGAAGTACCATGGCGCCGAGCTGATGTATTGAGGAATGTGAGGATTTATATCCTTGCCTTCCTCGTCCACGGCAGCCGGAGCCGTGCCTGCTTTTCTGGCTTCTTCGAGTTCTTTGGCTTTTCGCCATTCTTCTCGGCTCTTCTTGCGAGGTTCATCCTCCTCCGAACTTTTATTCTTCAGAATACTCGACACCGTCACGTTCGACGATGAATTCACCATTCTGCTGAAAGTTAATAGCGCAATATTAAGGGCTGCTATTACGCATCTTCAGAAATAACTTGATACTTACTTTCAGGCCCGAATGACAGTAGTCATAAATCGCAAAATACAGAGACTGAAGATTTAGAAAATCAATTAGTTCGGTCAAATCTTTTAGCGCTCTCAAGTCAACGAATATATCGCACAATTATTTCAATTTTCCCATCAAATAGAGTCATTTCAGCGTCTCCTGTCACCATGTCTCCTGTGATAGTTTGCAATATAGACGGGATGCTCAAACTGCCTTTCCATGCGGCGTAATCGCGTGAACCTTGCGCGAAACAACGTCAGCCAATAAAAACGTCTCACCGTACACAAATCCGATTAAAACTATTTGACTGACTGACGTAATGTAAAAAGTTTATTAGATAAGACGCAGACGCTGATCGAAGACCTCACGTAATTGACTAATCATGTTGGTCAGGTCAGACAATCACAAATATAAGTCAGTTTTGCGATACTGTCGCGTCTGTGTCTGTGTAGATATGTATATATACTAACATATTATTATTTTGAATGTGCGCCGAAATTTACCATAATCATAAAGAAATGTAAAAAATACTGCTAAAGTTTTTAAAAATATAGGAAATTTTGAGGGCTACATCGTTACTTTGTAATATAGAATTATTTCGTAATATAGAGATTTCTATATTTGGAATTTACATAATTTAAGTTAGGATTGCAGAGTATAAATAAATAGTGACACACTTGCTCTTTTGCATAATGTAAAGAAAATTAAAATTTTTTTCTTAAATACACCAAAAATTATCAATATTTACTTTGCACAGTTTAAACAACAACAAAGATATGGCAGCATTGTTACATTTAGTGTTCAAATTGCATACATTTCTATTTACAATATGTATAACGAATCAAGGTAATAAAAGATAAATTTATACCGCAATATATATGTATACATATATATAATATACATGTATTACATATACAATTATATACTTATACACGTTATAGATATATATATATATATATAAATAATTTATATATGTATATATATATATAATATGTATAAGATTTTTTCTCATTGATCCTAATGATCGTTCATTTGTTTGTTAGATACCGACTACAAAATTGACTAAACATTATTACACAATAATATAATATTATATGTGTGTACAATAATATAATATTGTATGTATGCACATTCAATTAAGTTCAAGAATAATTCTACAATTACTGAAAATATTAGCAAATTTTGTTTTCTGTGCGCTCATCAGCTTTGCATTGCGAAGAAAAATTATAAATAAAATTAAAATTAGTAATACATTTAATGCGACGTAGTTAAGTAACATTTTGTGCACCGTGTGTCGTCAGAGAGTGATCACGCTCTCTCGGCCTGCTCCAACGCCAATCCATTTGACTGCAACAAAATAAATTCTTAGTTTCGTAGATTTGAATTTTGTGTGCTACAATGTGTATATGAAGCAACAATGAATTATGTTCCAACAAATTTTGTGCGCAAAACCATTTATATTACCTGGCACGCCCAAGTACTCTTCTATAAGCTGTATATATTTATGTGCATTAAGAGGTAATTTGTCCAAGGAGCGCACGCCCTCGGTTGTAGATTGCCAACCTTCTATCGTTTTATACACGGATTCCACTTTTGCTAGCTCCCAAGTGCTGCTTGGAAAATAATCTATATCTTTTCCATTTAGCCGATATCCAATGCACACTTTTATCTCTGGCAATGTATCCAAAATATCGAGTTTCGTTAAACATATGGAAGTGTATCTGTAATAATAGAAGTATCGAGATTTAAAACATAGCATGTATTGACGCTAAAACTGTACAATAACGTGCACAATTTCGATTGGAAGAGAAAATAAACACATTGCATCTTTGACGTGAAATAATTTGCACATACATACCCGTTGACCAACGTTGTGAATTTCAACAACGGCAAATCGAGCCAACCACATCGTCTCTTTCGCTTTGTAGTTACGCCGATTTCGTGACCTCGACTCTGCAGTAATTCTCCGATAGAGCACGAAAGTTCTGTGGGAAATGGTCCGTCGCCTACCCTCGTGGTATAAGCCTTCACGACACCGATTATCTCGCCGATTGTGCTAGGAGGTAAACCAAGTCCCGTGCACACCCCGCCTATACTGCAGTTCGAGCTCGTCACATACGGATAAGTACCAAAATCGATGTCCAACATAGCCGCGTTGGCGCCTTCCACCAGAACTTTTTTTCCGTCTTTCAACGCTTGATGCAGATACTGCACCGTTTCTTTCACGTACGGCCTTATGCGTTTCGAAAATCTGCGAAAAAGAATCGTTGTTGTTTGTTGTTTATCGCAAATCGCGATATCGACGCGAATGACAAAGCTGTGTGTTAAATTACACATACTCCTTGTAACGCTCCAATTCAGCTTTAACATCAACATGCAGAGCGGGAAACATCTTTTGATACGACGTGACCAAGGTATTGAATTTCTGAGAGAATTTTTCAAAGTCTCCGAGAAGATCTCCGATTCTGAGCCCATTTCTGGAAGCTTTGCTGGAATACGTCGGTCCGATACCTTTCTTTGTGGTTCCCAATGACTGTGTGCCTTTTTCCAGTTCTTGCAATCCATCGACCTGTTGGTGAAAATCAAAAACTATATGCGCCCGATCTGATATTACAAGCCTGTCCTCCCAATTTTTGAGTCCTTTGGCCTCGTTCTTCTCCAATTCCTCAAATAGACCTGGCAAGTGAATCACTACTCCATTGCCTGCAAACAGAAGAAAGTTCAAACATATAGTAATATTTATCGAAACTGAACACAATTGCATAATCCTTTTAACATTAATTACACGTACAATTTGTAATAATAATTTTATAATAGATTATTATTTAAAAGAGTAACACAACGTAATGTATATCCATTATCTATGTACCAAAAGGCATAGGGTAACCTACGAGCAAGTGGAATAATTGCCTGTTTTGTATAATGATTTTGATGAATTTAAACTTGCAACTCTACACTCCTTTGTCACAAATTAATTTCATCACAGAGGTAATGTTACTTTTTTTTCTTTTCGAGTGCACAAGCCAGAATAAAAATTTGATTAATTTTTAACTTGTTGATTTGAAAAAATCATTACCTATTACGGATTTGCATCTGGGATTGATTATTCCACTAGGCAGAAGGTGAAAGTTGAATTCGGCACCTTCTACTACTACAGTATGCCCTGCATTATTTCCTCCCTGTGAAATTACATTAATAACTTGAAGAAACAGGGCATGCCATTATATTTTTTTTTATGAACAGAAAAGATTGTATTATTGAATTGAAAATCAAAACCAGCTTTTTCTGAATGGCATAAAGCAACAGGCATATTAGAACTTTGTGACAGAGAGATATATCTATCTTATCAACATAACGAAATGTAAATTAAAGAAATGAAAAGTAATGAGAGAAGAATTTAGAGAATAAAAATATAAATTGTATTATGGCCAAGATATTACTCTTAACAACATTTGTACGAAATTATACTATAAATATGTCATCAATATTCATTTAGCCACATATGTTTCTTCTATCAACATTATTGTTTCCTTAAAGATATTCATGGATTACTGTAGTCTGATATTACATAACTCAAATTTGCTGACATTAACATTCACAAATTAATTATTCATTAAAAATTATTCATCGATTTTATCAGCAAATGAATTACGTGAACAAGCGAGACAACTGTCCTTGCAAAATATCCTTGTGATAAAGAAAAAATAAAACTAGGAAATATAATTTATGGCACAATAAGGTGCAAAAAAAAAAAAAAAAAATACAAAGTGTGATTTGCTGTATTCGAGTCATACATAAAGATAAGAGGTAATCTTTTAGAAGCATTCATTCATTCATAATTGTCAATTATGTAATGACAAGCACGGAAAAATACAGGTTACATTGCCATAGATGTTTGTAATATATATATATAGTCAGGTCAGGTGACATGCGGTTATTTCTAAAAATAAAACGTGGTAAACCACGTTTTGTGTGTGTGTATGAGAGAGAGAGAGACAGAGTAAGAGAGAAAGAGAAATGTCATGCGCTATCATTTGTCACTCATAAAATAGTCAAATTATATTTTTAATGATCTCAACATACCGCGTATCATTTCTATTATAATGACAAGGAAAAGTTAGTGTTCAAGGTTTTTTTTTTGTCACAATACTCAAGTAAAAACGTGCGCTTTATTTTACGCGGTAGTACGTGCAGTTCCAATTTTTTTTTATTTAAAAAAAAAAAAAAAAAAAAAAAACCGAGTCTTTCGAATAAACAGTCGAGAATTCGAGGCGCGAAGTTGAGAAGAGGCGGGAAACGCGCGTCTGTTCCGAAGACGTGACTGACAATACCGGAAAAAAATAAAAAAAAACCAACAAGAAGGAAGGAGAAAGAGGAACAAAAGGAAACAAAAAGAACGAGAAGAAGGAGAAATTCAAAAATCCAAAAAAAAAAAAAAAAAAAAACCAAATATAATACCTGACATCTACAGACAACGTCAGCGTCCATCGCTAACATGTCCACGACCTTCCCCTTGCCCTCGTCGCCCCATTGCGCGCCGAGAACCACCGTGACCTTCGAGATGGAACCGCCGCTCGACATGGACATTCGTTGTTTCTTTCTCGGCGACGCCAGGGAATCGTTGCCGTTCGCCTGCTGATTCGTTTGTTGTTGCTGCTGCATCCTCGTGCACGCGGACATGTACAAATGTTATGTACGTATGTGTAATGCGCGATAGAGAATCGTCGATTGACGAAAACGCGAGCGCGAAGGAAAAGCGTGAAGTGTCGCCGCTAGGAGGGTTCCGGCGGACGCGCCTTTGCTTCTTCCTGTCGTCGCCACGCGACGAAACAGCTGACGCAGCGGAAATCGGACGGAACGATCGCGGCGAGTCGCCGCCGCTTTTGATCGCGTATCTCAGCCTCGGCGTTAAATCCTCTTCTCCCCCGCTGTCACGCTCCTCGTTTCTCGCGGCGAGAATCTAACCTACCTACCACCCGATTCGTGGCTCCGTAAAGCTCGATTTCTATTGGATTCGAACGCCGCGTCCGGCTCGCGTAACTTCGATCCGTTATTTCGCGTTTCCACCTTCCCAAAAAAATATCCGGTTGTCTCTCCCTCCTTATCCTCTTCGGATAAATAAGATCCGCTTATAGATATATTGTACGCGCGATTGCGACGTTTCTTTTTTTTCAATCGTCTATTACAATCGCCCGCCATATCGATTCGATCGTCCGTGTGTATCGCGCTTAAAAGTGCGGGAACGCGCGCACGTGACAAAGCGCGTCGTCTGGTACGTATACAAATTGAGACACACGCTCGTTTTTCAACCGAGCCTGAAATCTTGATGGCTCTTGGCCTTCGAGATGTCTCGAAGAATGACGGAGGGAAATTTTATTCGGACGGCGAAGGTTTATTTCGGATCCGGCGGTGTGACGCAATTGCAACACACGCACACACACACACACACACACACACAAAGTTGCGCTCCCCGCCTTTTGACAGACGCGGGGATCACTCGATTCGTCGAAACGAGATTGTCCGCGCGCCTGAGACAAGTTCGAAAAGATAAATGTTATCGCGCGAAATGCTATATGCTTTGGCCTGCGTGTAGACCGAGTTTCATGTTTGTGTTTTATTTTAATGCGACACATATATGCGTTTCTCTCTTATCGTCGCGTTTACTCGAGATTACGCGCGAAATTTTTTTTATTCCACTTCTGAAAATCGCACGCCCGTGTAACGCGCGGGAAAACAATTATTTTGTCTTCGATAAAGAGTTTTTCGAATTGACGCGCACCGAACAAGCGCGTAAATCCTTCGTTCGCGTCGCACTTGTATCAAGGATTTCGAGCAAAAAAGAAAAAAAAAAAGAAAAAACCACAATCCGCGACAAGTCTACTTATTTATATCTCTTTCTCGCGAGCGTTGATTAAAATTGCACAAGTTTTCATTGCGCGCAAAAAAAAAAACCAGATCAGATTCAATCAAGGTTGCGAGAGTTTTCCAAGAAGATACAATAAAACCATTTTCTAAATACAATAGAACGCGCGGTGTGTATGCACAAAAATCGCGGCGTATATATATATATATATATATATATATCGCGGGATACAAAAGACCAATTGCATCGGAAGGGGGGCGGCGGGGGGAGGTTTGTTCAATATTTACGTCGACTAGATGGATATATTATCGGATTAGTTGACCCCTGTGGCTTTTTAATTATGCAGGCTTCGGTGCGTCGGCACATCTGTCCTATAGAAAATCAAAAGGAGAACCGACGAGGGTTTTTTCAGAATCTCCGGACCCCCTCCTCGACTGTGTGGTCGATGATCCGGTCCCTCGGCTACAGAGTATCAATTACATTGTTATTACCGGTAGCCGAAGATGCGGTCACAAGATAATACACTGGTATAAGAGCATGCACAACAATGAGGGGGGACAGGTACATACGAGCGGCGAAACGGAGCGTGAAACGCCCCGTCGTCGTCGTCGTCGTTGTCGTCGTGCGAGCAACGCGATAGCCATCGCGCGTGCAACTATGCGTCTAATTTGGATTCGGCCACAAAGAGGAGATGCGTTTCGCGAAATAAAAAAAAAAGAGGGGTAAAACGTACCCCACGGGGCACTCGAGAGAAGCGCGCACACACCCCGTGAGCGCGCTTGTACACGCGGTATCATGTACCTATATATATATATATATAACGAAATGTATCTCTCGGAGGGTTTTTAGTTGATATACTCGGGATGACGAGCGAGGACGAACGGGGCTCGCGGATGAGGAACACGGACTTCAGCATAGCTCGTATACTGGCGAACGATACGACGTCGTCGTGTTGCTGCGAGACGCGGTTGTCTCTTGATGAACGCGACGACGACGCGATTCGAAACGACGACGACGACGACGGCGTCGCGCGAAAATCGCGGAAACGCCGCGTCGACGAAGAGGAAAATATCGCGCGGGATAGAGAGACGAAGAACGAGTTGCGGGAACGATTACTGGGAACGAGATACGGGAAAGAGGAGGAACGCGATGATGAGGAACGCGTCGTTGTCGCGGAAACGAATAACGACGTTATTCGCGTGGATGCGACACGAAGAAGCGATTTAACGTGGCTTCATTATACCAGATATAGACCGCCGAAGTTGCCCAGAAGATCCCTCGTCGAGAAGAGAACGAAGCGACGTGCGGGCGATCATCCCCGCATCCCGTTCTCGTCGTCGCAGTTGGAAGTGTTGGAGAATAGGTACAGGAGAAGCGCTTATCTTTCCAGGAACGACGTCATCGAGATATCCGCGACGTTGAGACTGCCGCAGAGCAAAGTACGTCAGAAAAAGTTCGTTCTCTCGATATGTCAGATATATTTCTAGCGTGTTTGTATGTAAATTTCGTGACGATATTTTGCGCTTAGTGTGTGGTAAATAAAACAAACAGATATATATATATACACTATATCGTTGTTTAATCAATCTTTCAAGTTTGCATGCGACGAGACGCGCGAAATATGAGAGGGGAGATTATTGAAATTTTTTGTGTTTTGCAATTGTAGATAAAGATCTGGTTTCAAAATCGTCGTGCGAGACAAAGACGCGAGTTGCTGAGTTCCACAACGACGACGTCTACGCGCGATGACACGTTAAGACTTTGCCGCACACACGAACGTCTTTCTTGATCGTCGAGCGAACAGATTTTTTTTTGTTTGGAAGTCACGCAAACGCAAACGCACACGCAGGCGAGACGAGAGATTATTTTACATGATGTATATTTAACTATTTATTTATGTGTGTGTGTGTGTGTATGTGTATGTGTGTGTGTGTGTCTTGTACTACGTTGATAAAATTAATTGTAATTGTTTTGTGATTTTTATTTAAAACTTATTTTCTATACACGCATTTGTATACAGTTGTGGGAAAAAAAAACAAAAATATTACACACCGACGATGTATTCGATGTGAGAAGAACAGAAAGCGCAATTGCACTCCTTTTACCGCTTGCTCGATCGAAAACAGTTATTTTTTCCACAGGGATGAAATCTTTTCTCTGTTGTAAATCACGAAGTCGCAAAAGATAAACAATCGCGACGATAAAAAAAAAAAAAAA